ATTGGGAGCAGACATATGCTAGCTATTGCATGATAATATAATTAATTGATAGTGAACTGTACTGAAAATAGTAATTAACTAAGACTTAACTAATCTGTTCTTCATTATCAATGTGTATTTTAATCTGCATTAAATAAATGGTATTATCTTCCTAAAGCTCAGCAAAGACAAAACAGTAAGACTATTAATTGTGGGAAGGTTGTCCAGAGTACAAGGTGGGCATCTGTGGAGACTCCTTTAAATAGAAGACAAATGAATGGAATAAACTGTCTCAGCAGAATGCTGTAATACAGTCCTATTTTACTAGGAAGCTCACTGTTAATTCAAAGTATAGTATTTTTTACTCTCTCCTTCTGTCTTTTGATATTTCATTAACTGTAATTGTAGTGGTTAAGGAGCTACACACTTTATCCAGTCCTTCTTTCTGCTATTAGTTCAGTTACTCATTTACATTCAGGTTAGAGTGGGTCTTGGTCATCACTGCAAATTGGAAAGATGGGAATTCCCACTCTGGACCGAATCGGGGATCTCTTAGTATTCTGAGAGCAGTGAGAACAAGATGCTTCAAACAAAGGTGTGGATGATTCAGAAATTAAAAGCATGCAGGACCGGATTTTTCAAAAATAGTTGGAGTTGAGCTAACATCAAAGCATAAGGCTTAATTAGTGTCTAGGGTCATGAGGTCCCAGTGGTTTTTGAAAGTTATTTGTTATACATGAAGCTTTTTGCTCTTACTATGTTTCTCTTTGAGGCATGGTTTCTCATCTCTGATCCATTTCAAACCTAGACACTGGTGTACAGGAGGGGACAAGAAGACAAAATTATTTCTTTGAAATATTAGTTAAGTATATTCAAAATTCAGTAGTAGCATCAGAGTGAGAAGATGTCTCTACCAGCTATTATGTCTTACTACACAAAGAGGCCTCTGAGTCTCAGTAGGCTTCTCAGCATTAGGTACTATGAATGGGTGGGTGCTTGCACGTAGCTGGAGGAAAATATTTATTAACATTGTTTAGCATAGCAGTGTTGCTTATGATGGAGTCACACAGATTTTGAGTTTGAGTTTTTGCACTCCTGATAAAAAGCTTACTTCAGTTATCAGTAAAGTCCTTAACTTTTAGGTGCTCTCCATAATTCTCTGCTTACTTATTGTTAATTTTTTTTCCATGATAGAGGACTTAATTGTGACTACAATCAGTTTGCTTATTAGCACTTTCTCTGTTCATGTCCTGTCAGTGCCTTGAAAGAGTAAGTCTTTCAGCCCTTCATTACTGAAGGTGATTTCATCTAATTGCATATTCGAAGGGCAACACAACAAATCATTATTAAGAGACTGTCTTGTATGGGGAGAGAATGTTTGGCTTAGCCATTGTTGGGAGTATTTTATGAGGAGCAGGCGTGTGGTGACAGGGATGGAGATGAGGTTTTATTACCTTCTCTCTTTGGATTAAAGCCAATGCCAGGCTGCCATTCTGCTTTTTCTTTAGCTCTATGAATCTGAGCTCCAGCTTTATCAGCTTCAGCAGTAATATACAGCACATTCCCCAACCAAGCAGATAGCAGATACTGCCTTGCAAGAATCTATCAGCCTCAGAAGAGGTGTTGATGCCAAGTCTTTTACTTCCTGGGGAAATGCTACAGACACTTCCTTTTCTGCCTTGAGCTATGCTTCAAAATACATTAAAAATAATAAAAAAAAATCAGTTACAACTGTTTTTATGAATGGCCTAGTTTTGTTGGCTGTTTCAGAGTCTTGCTGAAAACATAGCTCAGTTTGACTTGACTTCCATTTGTGACCACGTTGTCTGGTTTCTTTTTATTGAAGCAGCTCACTAAATTGCCCGGGATTTAAAGCAGTCTCCTGCTGGAATTGTAGGGATCTACCCATGGGATGCTGGTGCTTCCAGAAAGGTGGCTATTGAATAGGGATTTTAAAAGAACTTTTTCCTTTGTTTTAAAATCACAGCTTTAGACTTAGATTCTTAAATCTGCCTGCAGTATTTTGACAAGGTTTGTTTCTCTTTTATCTGACTGACGGTGTTAACCTGGCCCAACCTTGCTTGAAAATATAAGTGCTTAGTAGGGTTGTGAGAAAGTAACTGAAGATTGACAAGGAGGATTGTAAACACACTCACGTGACTTGCATGTGGGGTGCTGTAAAAAAAAAAAAAAAATCACACTAATCGTGTTTAGTTTTACATGTTCAACAAGCAGAACATCTGCACTTAGATAACATAGACCTGTGATGGACTCAGGGGCACCTTATCAAACATGCCCGAGATCCCTGCCCTGCTGTTGAAGAAGATCAAAGCACAGTGAAAAACTCTGCCTGTTTGAACCTGTGAAATACAGGCAAGAACAGCAAGTGTGAGCTCTCCCTCTCTGGCTGAGGAGGACTCCCACTCTGCGGTGCCCTTGTCCCCCGCCTGTGTGCCTCTGCCCAGCTGCTGCTTCGGATCCCCCGGTCTGAGAGATCAAATTTGTTCTTTGCCTTTCATCCGTGGTTTTGTGGTTGTTCCTGCATCCTGCCTCTGTCAGCTCACACAAGGGTTTTACCTTGAAGTAACACACCCTTTTCCTTCTCTGCTCCCCACTATGTTCTGCTGAAAACAAGACTGCGTAAAGGCAAGGTTTGATGTAAGCTGTGTTTAGGGTTAATTACTTGCACACAAGAGCCACGTTTACACGGTGGTGTGTCGAGAGAAACAGATACTTAATGACTAAACCCATCCATCTCCCAGACACATACCTGTTCTTGTCGTGCTGTCTGCAGGCAGGAGTGTACAGGAAGAAGTGAGATGAAGGTTACTGGGCCATCACTGGTGATGCAACCAAGGAGAAGTTCTGGCAGTTGGCCACCAGGTGGTACTAGGGCTGCATTTGGAGAAATACGTTGTCTTCAGTTCTGGTCTTAGCTTTAACATTAAATACAGTAAGCCCTCTGCCCACGCCCCAGCGGAGTCTGGATAAATGCATCCACCGACATTGCATTTGGACATTAGCTGCATCAGCAGAACTGACCCTTCAGGTGACATATCGCCAAGGGAAGGAGCCCTTACTGCAACAGTCAAGCACTTTGAGCATGTTCGTCTCCTGTCATCCCAGCTCTTCATTGCCACCTTCTCGTGCTCTGCTTTAATCTCATGTTGCAGCTTCAGGACCAGCGAGTAGTAGCACTAACTGTAAACTTTTAAAATAAACAGAACCAAATTGCACGAATAGCCCTGTTTCTGTAATTTTTGTTCCAGTACTTTGCCCAGCCTACATCACCTCCCTTCCTTTGCAGACCCCCCACTATCCTTTTATCACTACCTGGGCCGAAGTCCACATGTGCACGCACTGTCCAGCCACCAGAGCAAACAGAAGAGATAAGGGAAGGGGCTAGAATGTAAACTCAGTTGATAAGAATACTCATTTAGATTTATCTTTAATTCCAACAGTCAAATCTGAGAACAGCCTTGTTGCTATTAGCAAGTTTGGCTGAGAAGTTCTATACTTGGTGACTAGTTAGGGGGGAGAGGGTAGAAGCAGGACAGACACCACCACATTCTTACCTTTTCTGTCTTTCAAGATAAGGGCTGAACACTTTTTGATTAAAAATAAGGATTTCTTAAACACACTAACTGAAGGATGCAGCACTTTCAAAAAACCAAACAGTAATGTGTGCCAGAGCTCCCTGAGCTAAATAATGCTATAACATTTAAGGCAAAAAAAAAAAAAAATTAAAAAATCTCTATAACTTTTGGACCTTTATGAATTTTGAAGTGATGAAGTGATAACTGACTTTTTGCACAGCTGAAATTATTCCTCTGTGTGAAAACATGGATTTTCAGGAAAAAAGCAAGGTTTTCATCCTAGGAACCTGAGAACCAAATGTTCTACTGAACATAGGATTCATCTACACCCTTTCCTCTTAAAGTTACCATCTGTGAGAAGAGCCAACTGCCTTGCTTTTGGCGTATGTTCTCACACACATTCTTCCTTTGCTATGTCCCTGCCATAAACCCCTCCTCCTTCTCCTAAAGAAGTAATGTTCCACAAGGATAACATGAAGGTTTTACGCTGTACGGACATATACGCATGATGGGGTCCTGTGAACCACCACATTAAAAACAGACTACAGCATTTCTAGATGTCTCCTTAACATATATAGTAGTATCTTTGAATAAAGTGAATAGCTGTCTTTATTTTGTACCACCAAGAGAACTGACCCTGTTGGTAACTGGAAGATGGCAGGCTGAGTCAAACCATGTCCAACATTTAAGACTTAGTCATAAGTGCCAGGACACTGGGCTATACCAGGATAACCAGGAAGAGTTTTCTTCCTGAGCAGAAGGAAAACAATTTTTAAAAATTACTTGCTTGTTACTGAAAAATTTCAAGCATGGAAGAAAAAATGAAAAATTATAAAAGAATTTATAAGAACTTCTATAGTAAGAGTATTATTTTACACTGAAAATGGTAGCTTTTCCACTTTTTTTTTTTATAATAAAGTTGGAAGTGATGGCTTTATGTTACTGTTCCCACTTGTGTGGTTCCTGGAAGGATTACTCTAAACTTTATTACCCTTGTAGCCTGTTGAAGAGGAAGCTGTACTTTTTCCAAACTTACATTAACCAACATAATAGAGGAGTCGCTATTCTGAATCTAAAGCTTAAAATAAAAACCCAACCGAAAACCAGCACACACAATCCCTTCCCCTACTTTGCTATACTGAGATCAGCACACAGAGAAACTATTCTGAGATCTCTTCTGTATTTGAACTGGTCCAGCTAAAGGCCTTTATCTTTTTGCTCAATATTTTAAGTGGTGTGTGAAAACTGCTTTTCTTTTTCACAACATCAAAATTATTTTTATTTCCCGCGAGTACTTTCCCAACTGAAACGAAATGGAGAAACACACAAATACCCAGAGCAGTGGCAGGTCTGAACACTGACATAAACCAGGTACGTTTGACTCAAAAGAGGGAGAACTTGCTCTGAAAGTGCACCACAAAAATAGCATGTTCACACTCTTACCAGTTCTTAATATTAAGATACATAGATACTCTGGAAGAAGGTTACAACTAGTATTTTTGCCACGTAGACTTGTTCTAGCAAATCAAGACTTAATACTGAGTGTCTTACTGAGTTCTTTTCATGCAAGAAGTGTGAGCCATATGAGTTACACAGGCAATGACCTGTTTGGTATTATAATTTATTTGTATACAATCATCATGTACTCTGCCTCTGGGTACAGTAAGTTGAGTGCTGCACGTTCTGTCAGACACAACAGTCCTATAGTAATATGGGACTATTTGAGCTGATGAAAATGTGAATGAAGAAAACAAAAATACAAGGACCTAGCAAATGGATTTTGAAAAAAAGTATTAGTCACAGCAGTTAACTGCAACAAATACTTGGATGGAAGTGGTAGCAGTCTGATTAGTCTCTAGCAGATGGATGGTTCTTCTACTGCATGAGCACCTTCAACAACAGCTTTCACACACTTGGCCATTGTCTGGGATGCTCTACTGATTGAATCTGAAAAAAAAATAAATCCAAACACATGTTAGTGTGTTACAACTGTTTGTTTTCAAGATCATACACAGATACAATATAAAAGAGATTTACTACAAGACTGCATAGACAGAGGATAAATTAAAATGCTTAGTTGAAAATGTAGTCAGATAGTCTGTGCTTTATGCAAATTCCAAATCACTTTACTGGAAGATTTTGTTTCTTGAAAAGACTTAAATCCTATATATCTTAGTGGAAAGCTTTAAATGCCTCATAATAATCTTACTGTAAAGCTAAGTAAAATGTATTGCTGGTTTCAGAATGGAAAGGCCATACTATACATACCTGTCATATAAAAGTCCTTTATTGTGAGCTGAGGTGGAACAAGAGGATCAGCAAGAAGCTGTTGCTTCACTAACTGTGGCAGGAAAGGGAAAAATAAAGAAAGTCAGCTTTATGACAGGAACTCATTACCAAAGCATTTGTTTAGTGAATTCTATGTTCAGTGCAAGTCAAAGAATGCTTGTAGCACTACACATGAAGAAGGACCATTTCTTTAAAAAGCATCATGCTTTGTAAGAGCACTAAGTCATGCCCAGATGCTTTAGTTGTGGTTACCTTTGACAATTCATTTGCCTGGGTGAAGTAGTTAGCCTCTTCCACATCGTCATACCGAACCAGATTAGGGGATACTTCTTCCAAACGCTTCCGTATTTGATCAAGGTTCTCATAAGGCAAGGTCATACCAGCCAACTAAGAGATTCACAGAAAGAAATGCCATCAAGTCTACAGATTTCATACATAGTGGTTTAGATTGCCAATCCATTAACATACCTAAAGTAAAATCAGGAAAAATCTACACTCCTGAAAACACAGGCAGTTATAATGTACAAACTGAAGCAAAGTCACAATATTCTGTTGGACTTCAGATGCCTACAGTAAAGGCTTCCCCATGTTAAAAAAACTAGGCTGTCCTGTTTAATATACAGAGCGATAAAAGACAAGAAGTACTTTTCTCTACTTTTCTCCTTCCATACACATATCACTTGTACTTTCCCTAGCTTACCACCAAATGTGATTAAAAGTTGATACAATTATCAATGCATCTTGTTCCCAGTGACTAGCAAGCACGTATTTCATCTTATCTGATGATATCAGATGCTGTCCTCAGAGTTCATATTGTTCTTTTTCTAAAAAGCAGGAAACTGCATCCTCCTATCAGTTTCCTCTAAAGCACTTCATGAAGACCTGCCTAACTTGCAGTTTCACCCGTTACGCATTCCAATAGCATACAGCAGCTATAATATTAGTGCCATCCTCAAAAGGGAAACAATATGATTTAACTTACAGAACTAACAAAGGATTCAATACAAAACATTACTTCTTAAGACTAGTCACGTATTTCCCTGAAAATGTACCTCTTTTTTGGAAACACTTTTCAATATACAAGGAACTTAACCTCTCGGTGTACTTTTATTAGAAGCAATTTATAGCAGCACCAGTACCTCAGAGACAGCTCTAATAATTTTCCAGTCTTCCCTTGCCATCCCAGGAGGAGTTACTGCCACTCTTGTCTGCTGGGCCCTACCCTCAGTATTCACATATGTGGCTGCCTTCTCTGTATATGCTGCTCCTGGGAGAATAACATCAGCCATGGGAGCTCCCACATCCCCATGATGTCCTAAATACGTGGGAAGAGGAAACAGTAGACAACCATATAAAACATAAGTCAAAATAAAAAGAAAAGCTTTACTAACAGAATACAGAATTTCTGTATTCCCAGGAAAAAAAAAAAGGAAAAAAAAGAGAGAGTTTCTGAGGTTTGCTTAAGCAGCACTATAAAGCCTATTAGGCTGACTGCTCTGAGATCTTACTTGCCTAATACTTTGGGGAGAACGAACGGACTACAAGCAGTAGTAAATGGTAGTTCATTCTCTATAGTCAGTCAGCTTTGGGGGGCTCCTGGAACTAAGATGCTTACTGAATGAATATAAGATGGTATTATATATTTCGGTATGACAGAACAGCTGGGAACCAATGGCATTTTGCCTGCCAGGTTTGAAGCTATGCTCCAGAAGACCTAACTGGTTTATATTCCCTTATTACTCATTGATTCTCAATTTTACCTAAGAAATAGGTAACCAGTATCTCAGTTATGTGTTGGAACAACCATTTCTTGGCAGAAAATAAAGGCTAGAAATTATCAAGGGTCAGATATGTTTGTAAGAATACGCCACTGTTTAGTCTTTCTCTCCAGCCATTAGATAATAACACTGCTTAATTCACATCCACTAGTTACCTTGATAGATGATAAAACAGTCCTTTGGCAAATCCTGACGTGTTACACAACCCGAATCTGCTCCCAAGAGATACAATACTTTGGGAGGATTTTTCCTAATTGCCTCCACTCCTGGTTTGAAACCCAGATCCAACGCAGCTACCTGGCTTGCAACCCTGTAGGAACAAACACATTATGACTTTGAGTTATTTCAGAATTCTCCCTCTCCCATCAGAATAGACCTTTTTTTTTTTTGACTAAATATTTCAAAGAGATGTAAGAGGTCTCTTAACAGGACAAAAATGAAGCATAAAGGCAACTGAAATTTTTGACAGAGTATTTGACAGAATATCAGATTGGTTTTGCATTTGGACCAACTGATGCCATTTGAAGTTTTCATGGGGAATCTCACCTATTTAAGATGGGATAGCAAAATAAAGCCAGACATTCCAGGCCAGGGCCTGGTGGCAGGCAGCTCACTTATCTGGAACATCAAGGTTCATATTTCGGCTATGAACTGAACTCAACAGGCCTTTAATTTAGAGCACTCATGTGAAAGATGAAAGACCGGGTACTGGACCATCAGCTACCCTGAAGCGTCTAAGATGTAAGACCACTACTTCATCACTATTCATTTATTCACACATAAAAATACTTTTAGAAGAATTAAATAATCTTTCTCATTTTCTGTCAGTTTTTTTCTTTTCCAAAGAAACAGTTTTGCATAATCCTGCATAATCATGTGCCAGAATTAGAATTATTTTTAAAATAAAAAGATTCTCTCTGTAAAGTACAGATCTTCCAATGTCACTCATGCTTGTCTGACATAGTCAGACGTATAGGTTCCAATAAGTTAAGTTGCTTTTTACACTTAAGGTAGAGAGGAGGGTGCACCAAAAGCGTGAAAGTCTATAATACGAAAGACTGCCAAACCACATGTAAAAAAAGGTATCATGAGTGTTCTTTAACTCATAAGTGTTTTGGTATTAAATGTTTCAGTTTCAACACCAGGATTTTCTATTTAAGTTCCCTACAGAGAAGCCAAGCCCTGCTCTTGCTATAGGAAGTTCCATTCAAATATGAGGAAACACTTCTTTACGGTGAGGGTGACAGAGCCCTGGAACAGGCTGCCCAGGGAGGTCGTGGAGTCCCCTTCTTTGGAGATCTTCAAGAACCGCCTGGATGCAGTCCTGAGTGATGTGCTCTGGGCAACCCTGCTTTGGCAGGGGAGTTGGACTAGATGACCTCTAGAGGTCCCTTCCAACTCTGACAATTCTGTGATTCTGTGACTTTCTCGAGTCTCTGAATCTGAGCACCAGTACATTTCCTGAAGTAATCTTTGCTTTACAGAGGTTGTCAATTAAACAGATGGAGTTTTAGAAAGAGAGAAGGGAAGGACTGCCCCAAGAGAAGCCCGTCTATTAAAAGGAAATTTAAATCAAACCTGTGGAGGATGTTCATGACTTTCCAATCAGAACCAACACCGCTCTTAGTCCTGGCATTTTGTGCGATGGTGGACACGGCAGCATGGATAGCCGCTCCGTCACCGCGCTGCAGCGCGGCGCTACCTACCACCACCATGGGCTTCTTGGCCTGGTCGAGGACCTGTGCAAACAAATAATCAAGAAATTCATTCCAAGGCTCTGAAGACAATTCTTGGTGCAGATAATGTAATAAATCCCATAATTTCTACATAAGTCTTCCATGTAAATCTACAGTTCTGAAATAGTCACTGTTTCATGTAGAGACAAAGCCAAGAGAAACTGCTATAAGCAGTATGATACCCTGTCAATGCAGAGCTACACTCTTGATAACCAGACACTTAGGTGAACACAGAAGCAGCTGAAACAGCCTATTCTATACCAAGAAATATTCCAGGAGTTTCCTGCACTGCAAAGTCTTACACACCTGAACACATTAAGCAGTTCACACATACTTGGTGCACACTAATCATTACCTCATCTCTGCATTTGATTAAAAGCAAGTAACTCCATAGACAACATGGTACTTCTCTTCAACTCTGTCTCTGTGGGGAATTCAGATTATTATTCAATAGATCTGAAATTTAAGAGTCACACTCTGAAGTTGTGTGTACCTTGCAGAATGCATGTCTTCCAGAAGCAATGTCCTGAAGTGTCTGTGGGGACTCTCCTAGATGATCATACGTGTAGGTCAAATTTACAGGAGAGCCAACAAGGGCCACTTTCAAGTCATTGTGAAGCCAGCTGAAAACATAGCAAACAGTTTATAAAAATCACAGAAATACAGAGTTTTACTCAACCAAATCCATTAATTATAATTTTAGCAATAACTTGAAATAAGATGCAAATTCTTTCTAAGGAATTTAATCAGCATTCATTGTTTTGGTAACATGCAGTATAGCATTATTCTGGCTGTTAAGCAAGCTTAAAGGTTTTTTTAGAAGGACTATGTCTCTGCATACATTCTGGAACCACTGCAGCAACACACCTTACACGAGAAGTTCATTAACTCAATTCCCTTCTCCCCTCACACTTTTGCCAATGCAGTAGGAAAAAACAGCTTGCACAAAATGAGGTACCACAACTTTAAACCATCTTTTCCAGTTAGGCAAAACCAAACAAAATTTAAAAAAAAACCACCTACAGCTACTATTAAGTTTATTTAGTTTGACTTAACTCTTAGTTATTTCAGAATTGGAGTTAAAGTCATTTTTAGGAGGAAAGAATTCTGAATTTGACAGTGCTCACAGTTTTAGAAATCCACTTATTTCTTACATAAACAAAAATTAAGCTGGTTAGAAATTTTTCCTTTTTTGCAGCTTCTCATAGCAGACATAAAAATTTATGAATTGTTCATAAATTTCATTGCATTTTTTCCTTTCCAGATTTTAAGGCCACTATTGTTTAAAAATATGTATTTTGGAAGATCCCAGTATTAGGAAGGATAGGGCTTTTATAAACCTTATTTCTCTCCTGCTGACATATCTTGTTAAAATTGCTATGTTCAAAAGCTTGGGAAAACCACACTTGCCAATGAAAAATGTTAAACTCTAATGACTGCTTCTAAAATGAGCAAGTCTGATTTGTTACAACAACAATATAAAAAGCAGCAAACTGATGCTGAAAATAATTCTTTAAGGAACATGATTTAACAAACTTCTGTAAGACAAAGAATCTGAGGTATCTGTGTAATGTAACAAAGGAATAAATGTCTGAGCATATGAACTTACGTAAAATGTCAAAGTGAGAATGAACAATATGTAGCTATACACTACATGGAGAAGAGACTCCCTTTTTCTACACATGTATCACCATTCCCTTTACTAAAAAGTGAACTAAATCCAGTGAGTCTGCCTGGATGAATGCTGTCAACTTACTGCATGTGGCTCCACCTGATCATTGTATCAAATCCAGATGGATTTGCACGCTTGTCCACCACCAAGGAATACCAACCTCTTTCGAATTCTGGCATTAAAAAGCGGTGCCTCAAAGCGTGGATTGGTGCCAATCAGAAGCAGGACATCTGCCTCCTCCACCCCGGCAATCTTGGTATTGAGCAGGTAGTTAGAGCGTAAATCTGTGCTATAACAAAAAGATGTAAGAAAGAAAGGGGATGAGAATTCAGTAAAGGGAAGGAATGAAGATATGGTAAAGATTCTCCATGCTCAAAATATTTTTTCATCTCAGGAGAAGAAAAGGAAAGAAGAGATTTGTCAATCTGAATTACTAACCCAAAGAAAAAGTAAGAACTTCTCTCTTTCGTGAGTATCAGAAACACCGAAATATTAAAGGAATTACAACATGGGTATTGTTTGCGTTTACAGTTATTGCAAGGCTTCACAAACTTCATCTGCTGCTACACAATTTACAAAATCATAATTGTACTATAGTTTTCACAACACCTAGAAATAGACTAAATTATCCAACTTATAGCAGAGTGTAACTGGCTTTCAGTAGCCTACTGTTAAACTGCAGCAGCCTCTACGTTCTGTAAACTGTGCTGTAGTAAACACTATGTATCAACTGACAATCCATAAATATTCTCTATAAATGAACACTGTAAATTCAGACAAAACCTGCTAGTGCATCAGCAATTGCTATCCTTGGTCATTTCAGAATCTTACCATGAGACGATTTGCAGGCTGGAAAGTTTATTAACACACTAATTACAGAAAAAAAATTGCCTGAACTCTTACCCAGCTCCAGCAGTAGGGAAGATCTCTTCAGTGCAGAGCGTATCACAATTTACTCTATTCAGTAAGTCCTTCAGAGCTATCAGTGCTTCTGCATCCACCAGTCCTCCCACAATTGCTGCTACTTCCTTACCGTTGACAGCTTGTAGCTGGAGAAAGTATAAACATAAGCAAAGAAACCACTGAAATAAAACGCCACTTGGCCCCGGTTAAGTGTTTGTTACATGAGGATGTGTGTTGTGGAGTAGCACAAACTGATCAGTGGTGTCTGATTTCTGCAAGGCAGCAGCTCCAGCTCCTTCAGAAGCCATGATAAGCAAAGAGGGGCTCTCTGCATTCTGCACAAGTCTCTCCTACTTGAGTTACCGCTGAGATGTGACTAATTCTCATTTGGTGTGGTGAGCAGAGGAAGACTGGTGAATGCTCATGTTTTAATGAGCCTACAGTGCAGACAGAATACAAACTTCCACAACACAAGGACAGGTAGTAAACTCAACTCAAAGGCATTATCTGAGATGAAAGAGGTTTTGTAACAAACCCTGCTACCGTACCATGGACAAAAACATCCTTGAGGAAAGCTGAATTACAGTTACTCAATTCTACTTCATCCCACGTAAAATTTTTAATCAAAATCCAGAGCAGTCATGCAGCACTTCACCGGAGCAGCAGAATCAATCACCACACAGAGGAAGCACTGAGGCAAGTACAATTCAGGTCTAAGTAATACAGAATTAATGGTTTTGACAGCAAAAGTGGTGATAGCACAGTTTAAATAAATTTAAGCAAGACTTCAGATAGATCAGAGTAATTCAGGAAAGCTGCTTCTTCCTAAATTTCTGAAGGAACAGTTTAGTTTCCTATTTAAATAAAAGTAATTTCTCTCCCAAATACCTCATGATAAGACAAAGTTCTTCAGATGGTCTAATCCATGAAACAGAAAATAATATTCAAAAGAAGAAATTTAAGTGGAAATACAATGGATTAGAAGTCAAATGCTCCCCTTTAACCATAAAAAGCTCTTTGCGATATTACTGTTTTGATATTAATCATTGTAACATGTCCAACTTTAGAAATTAATTTTACATTACAGATATTGAAAATTGTTCTTACCACTCCAGCAACACGAGTTAGCACATCCTCCCATGAGGCATAAACAAATAGTCCTTTCTCATTTTTGATCATTGGCTGAGTAAGTCTCTGACGCTTCAGACCATCATAAGCAAACCTAAGTGAACAACACTAATATTACTAAAGAGCAAAGGAAATTGTGTATATTAAATATTTTTTAAGACTGGGTTTTCTAACAGCTTGCAATGATTAGAAAAGAAGAAACACAAGAAATATTTCCCCTGAAAGTTTTTTTCTTCTCAAAAAACAAGCAGAAAAATATGATATAAATAAAAAAGTTACTGTAAAAAAAAAGCTACAAAAATGAAAATATTCGAGTTACTGTAAAAAAAAGCTACAAAAATGAAAATATTCGAAAACTCAGTACCTCCAATTATAGTATTAAAAACATGTTTTACCAATTATTCTTCACTATAGCTTTACAATACTAACAGCAGAATCCAGAAGTCAGTGCTATTGTCCACATTTCTGGTTCTGCAAAGCATGCCTTTAATGCATGCAGAAACACTCAGGTGGGTACAAACACTTCCCACACACCTTGTTTTGTCAGATATCCATTCCTCGTTTATATCTTCATGCAACCTTGGCAAAATTCTCATCACTTCTCCAGTTCTCGTGCTCACTACGATGTTGCTTCCAACTGCATCAAGAACATCAATTGACTCTACCTTCCTGTTTAGAAGAACGAATAAACCATTTGCAGTTTTCTATATACAAGAAGCAATAGACTGCATAACAAACAAAACAACAACAAAAATTAAGTGTTGTATGTTTATCTTTAGACATACATACAAGAGCTTAGTTTCCCAAGATATTTTAAATAATATCCTCAACAATTACTCAATTACAATTTTCCTTCTTATGTGTTTTTTACTGAGCAGTCAGCATAAGAGAAAATTCCTTATTTTAGAGAAAAATAAGGGAAGAATAGTCCACAGACTAAAACATTGTTCCTTCTCTTGAATGAGCTGTGAGTAAATAACAGAATTTGTGTTAGATTCAGTCTATGGAAAAGTCTACAACAAAAATGCAGAAAATAAAAAAATCAGAGAAAACCCTTGGTATCATAGATGGACATATTCTAAGACAAAGTGTGTGACAGAAATGGAGAAAGCTGCATCTTCAGTATGAAGTTAAGATACACACCTTGTCTCCCATGGGCGTGCAGTAAAGGCATATGGCTTGGAGGTAAGAGCACCAACTGGACAGATATCAATAATATTTCCTGATAACTCAGACATGAACATTTTTTCAACATAAGTACCAACTTGCATATCATTTCCTCTTCCGGTTGTTCCCAAGTCATCTACCCCTGCAACCTCACTAGCAAACCTGGTAGATGCAAAAAGAATGAAAAATAGATCTGGAAGGTACAACAGCAACATAGCACATTTTTTAATCTTATCTCATTTTCTTAAGATAAAACATTAGCCTTAGTTCATACACCTGAAAGAAGAAAACAATTGTTTAGATGCATTAGTCAGTGCCATCACATGCAGGACTATACATCTGCAGAATTTCAGTCAGATGGGGCTACAAAAACTAGATGGAGTTAAATCAAAAAACAGAGCAGTTCAGTGCTCATTGAATTTCACAGTCTGAGTCCTAGATTAGTCCTAACTAACAAGCTCTTTCTAGAATTAGGCAGGTACATTGTATTCTTGTCCATCTGGCTCAAGTTTGCTGGTACTAAATCTCAGGACTACAGAACAGCGTAAATATAGCTATAGCTACAAGAAGCTGTCAAGAATAAATCTTGCAACTGTGGCTGAGGAAGTCTCTTAATGTTTCTAAATCCATTCTGGCACTAACACTATGGAACCAGTTCTGCCCTGTAGAATTCTGATTTGACTTTCACGTTTTGGCCAACTCTCTCTATTTCCTGCACGATGGCTGTCCGGTAGTTCTAGGAAACCAGCTATCAGTCCCTAGCAGAAATAAAATTCTTAAGCACAGTCAGAAAAGAAATAAGAAGAATTGACTGCCTCTCATAGTGTTTCTTTAACAATTAACAAACTGATATAAATATGCCTGCTCAGTACTCTCTCCAGTGAAAAATAAAGGACATTACCTGATACATCGAGTGCACTGTATACACCGAGTCATGATTGTTTTGACTAATGGGCCAATGTTCTTGTCCTCCACAGCACGTTTTCCCTCTCTAAATCTACTCCTATCACTGCCAAACATCATCGATTGATCCTAGAACAGACAACAAAAAACAGACGTATCCAGGCTGCTGGAAAGCACAATGTCACTTAAGAGTATTAATGCGCAAGTCTACACAATTTAATTGGATGCTGTACCTGTAGATCACATTCTCCACCTTGATCACAGATAGGACAGTCCAACGGGTGATTTGCCAGCAGGAACTCCATTACACCCTCTCTGCGGGTTCAGGAATTAGTGTTAGTATCAACTTTACATCATTTAGCAGACAGTACAACTAATCAGGTCCAAGAGGCTGAAAAAAAGGTACCTTGCTTTCCTGGACTTCTCAGAGTTTGTCAGTATGTTCCAGCCCTTCATAACTGGCATGGCACATGCAGCAACTGGCTGCAAACATCATAAAAAGCATAAAAAGCAAGCATGAGCACAATGTATTTCTTCTCAACATGGGCACAAATGCCAACCTCCTCCCTCCCCAAATTCTTACATACACATCTGTTATTAATTTAACATGTTGTAGAAACAAGAAGATATCTGCAAGGCAAAAAAAGAAGAAAATCTAACCAATAAAATCAGTAGAAGCCATATTTATTAATAATCTGATCTATAATAAGGTTATTTAGTTGTGATTTATTTCTGTTTAAAGCTGAAAACTTTATGCTTCCCAGTTCCAATTCAAGTAGTTAATAGCAAGAACAAAGTCAGTTGCAACAGATATAAAACAAATCAAAGAGATTCAGCCGAGATATAGAAAACCTCTAGAACTGAAGCTCAGAGTATGCATTGTTTACTAGACATTTATTCGGACAAAACTTGTACAAAGAGTCCTGGAATAAGACCTTTCACAAGATTACTGCAAGATTAACAAAAACTCCTGCTCAGAAAACTAATCCCTCCTACTTTTCAATTACATCACGAGCTAAACCACCATAGAATCATAGAATAGTTAAGTGTTGGAAGTGATCTTAAAGATCATCTTGTTCCACCCCCCCTGCCATGAGCAGGAACACCTCTCACTACACCAGGTTGCTCAAAGCCCCATTCAACCTGGTTTTGAACACCTCCAGGGATGGGGCATCCACAACTTCTCTGGGCAACCTGTTCCAGTGTCTCACCACCCTCACAGTAAAGAATTTCTTCCTAATATCTAATCTAAATCTCCCCTCTTTCAGTTCAAAACCATTACCCCTCATCCTATCGCTACACTCCCTGATAAACGAGTCCCTCCCCATCTCTCCTGTAGGCCCCCTTTATGTACTGGAAGCTGCTACAAGGTCTCCCCGGAGCCTTCTCTTCTCCAGGCTGAACAACCCCAACTCTCTCAGCCCGTCTTCATAGGAGAGATGCTCCAGCCCTCTGATCATCTTTGTGGCCCTCCTCTGGACCTGTTCCAACAGGTGCATTTTATTATGTTGGGGGCTCCAGAGCTGGACACAGTACTCCAGGTAGGGTCTCACAAGAGTGGAGCAGAGGGGTAGAATCACTTCCCTCAACCTGCTGGCCACGTTTCTTTTGATGCAGCCCAGGAGGCTGCTGGCTTTCTGGGCTGCCAGCGCATGTTGCTGGCTCATGTTGAGCTTCTCATCCACCAACACCCCCAAGTCCTTCTCCTCAGGGCTGCTCTCAGTCCATTCTCTGCCCAGCCTGGATCTGTGCCTGGGATTGTCATGACCCTGAAGTAAATTACTATTTTACATCAGACATCAACAGTACCTAATGCATTAAAATATAAACTAATAACTAACTGCAATATCTATTTAGCTAGAACAAACCTGCAGACACTAATCCTCCTGCTGAATTAATACAGTATCTGAAGTTTACTATTTGTGTAATAGCAGCTGAAAACATGTGGTTGAAGCCTGAATTATATAAAATAAAAATATATCTGACTGAAAATGGACAGATACCAAATGTTCACATCCAGAAGCAAGATAATCCATAACAGCCTGAGAACTGACTTTGATTCATAGGCAATCATTGCAGTCCAGGGGGATGAAGGGAAAAATCTGCTTTGAGCAGCTGAATTACAACAATTTGTGTGCTGATGATAGTGCAAACAATTATTTACAAGATTTAAACTAGGCCCTAAGCACAGCAGAAAATTGTAATTCCTATGAAACATAAACAATACCTTGGGAGCTTTCTCTATTTCCACAAGACACATCCTACAGTTTCCAGCAACAGAGAGACGATCATGGTAACAAAACCGAGGTATCTGGATTCCAGCCTTTTCACAGGCCTATAAAGAATAGAAGAAACAAAGGAAAATTAAATTTAATTAGACCTTTCAGTTCCACCTCATGAAACATTCAGTTTTTCAAAGAATAAAACCGTTAGTGCTCAGCAATATAGTGCATTCAACCTTTCATCTTAATAAGTGACCATAAATAAAAAACAGTGATCAAGCAGAAACATGTCAGGCTATCAATTACAAATATTTTTTTTTCAAAATTTGTAACTGATTGAAGAAATGAGAATTGATCTCTCCTTCATACTTTCCTCCAAAAATAGAAATAATTCTCTCTAATAGGACACTAGCAATAAAAATAACTTTAAAGAGAGCATGCACTATTTAAAGAAAAGTTCATCAAAGAGGAAAATTTGAAAAATATAAAGGAAACAACAATGGGCGTAATGACTTCTGGTAATTCTGGTAATGTTGTTACACAGATACTCTCTATAAAGGTACTGGGGCATAGTCTATCTTCAACATCAGCAGAACCCCAACTCAGAAACATTCTGCCATGATATGTCTGAAGAAGAGACAGGAGGACAAATAAGACAGATTTCCAGAGAACAGAAGAAAACAGCCTTTCCTGCATAAAATCCCCATGGCTGATGGAGGGGATCTATGCTATAGCACTAGCTATGCCTGCCAGAAAGCACACCACCAAATTCAATAAAAAAGAGCTAACAAGACCTAATTTTTCTGATAAATTCTACAAAAAAATATCACATGTAAGCAAAACTAAAAAGCTAATAAAAAATAGTACTTAAGAAAATATTACATTAGACTCCTGCCAGGGACATTCTAATGCCTAAATAAATTAGTAACTTGTATCCAAAGAGCAAGGGACATATTTTGAAATAAACACTATGTTCTAACTCACTATACCACATCCCCATTTAATGGCTTCTTAAAAAGATGTTATACTAGAAAAAGATCTACTTGAAATTTTGGCCTGAAAAGCAACAATGCTGAGTACAGGCTGGGAAATCCAGGTTCCATGTCTTCCCACACCAAGAAGACTAAAAGCAGCAAGAGGATAAACATTCTGAATTATAAGAACTAAAAAGAAGAACTGAACTATAAGAACTAAAAACCTGACACACCACTTTAATAAGATACAAAATTAGCAGGTTCTGAAAGACTACCAGGTCAATTAGAGTTCAGAGCAAGAATTCCAATCAGAATTTATCAAAGTCTGTTATTGCATTGCATAAATTTTTGCAGCTAGGATTCAAGCCACATGCATCATCTTTTGAGCAATCACAGCAGATGCTTCTTTTTCAAACAATGAACTTTCCAAATGATTTCTGCCATGTGAAATTGTATCACAGTCAGTGAAAACACCCGTAAGAATTGCAAGAAACAATGCAAAGGGGGTTTTATTGCTACATAGAAAATGCTGCCAGGAAGTGAGATGGGGAGTCCAAGAAAAATTCAGGAGGCTGCTCCCCGCACCTGAAGCACTGTAGTTCCTGGGTTCACCAACACAGGATGACCATCCACAAACACCTCTATTTGGTTGCTGGCTGCTGTTGCAGTTGTACGACCTGGAAGATACAGAAACAGAAAACAAACCCCTTTCAGTTACTGCTAGATGCAAACCATCAGACCCCAGGCTCCTTATCTCACAGTTACACAGTACTGATACAATTCCAGTTCTATGAACAGCACAACACAGAATTCTAGAGACACAAATGAAGTACACGCACACACCCATCCATAAGTCAGTTACACATACACCAATTTTATCACACAGGCATAACCCATAAGCTAGAGGCGCTTACCACACACTTTGGAGGACTGGGCGACCCCAGCCAAGGTCCTGCGGACAGCAGGCAGTCGAAGCATGGTGCTGTGTCAAAAGAGAAAACAGCACCCAGTTTTTATCAGTTCGAGTGTTTGCTGACGAGTTTTAAAACTTCTATACCAGCTGCAGAAAAGTATTTATGCACCTATATGCACAGAGTTATAAGAGAATAAGAAGTTAATGTCTTAAACCGCAGGATATGGCTGGGGTTTTTTTGTAGTTGTCTGTGCTTCACACGTACGTATGTCACCTTATATTAAAAACAGCGCAAGCTGCCGGCAGCCTCGCTCCAGCCGCTACCTCTGCCGGGAGCAGGGAGGAAGGACGCGCCGCCACCGGGCCGCACACCACCCGGCCTGCGTTACCACCGGACACAGCGGCTCGCCACGACCGTCCCGGGAACCAGCCGGGCTCCCCGTCCACCCCGTCCCGTCCTCTGGGGCCCCCGTGCCGGGACCGACCGTGCCGGGCCCT